CCCCAAAACCCCAAAACCCCAAAACCCCAAAACCCCGAATTAGAAATTATTTATTGAACTTAGCAATTGAGAAAATTAAGGGAGTCAGGCAATCGAGAAAATAGTTAGATCTATCTACTAATGTTGATCAGTAGAAATAATAGAGAAATTATTAGTGAAACCCAAGATTATCTCTCTACAAATTTTAGGAAATTAGCTTTTAGATAAATGGCAAATTAACTAATTATGTTCGACAAGAAGGGAATTGACCTTGACATCGAGCTGGCAATTACTCATACATATTACCTATTCCAGGGTTAGAGTCGTATATTTTGACAGGTTCATATGACTCAACTGGGTTATAGCCTTTATTATGTTGAGCAAAGTCATTAAATCTTTTCCTTCTTGCCCTACTTAGACCCTTTCTGGTAGGCACTCTATCTCTACTGAGAGTATTTCTTCTCTTTTGCTGTAATTTGATATTTGATTTAGCTTCTTCCCCAATTATTTTGGGGTTGACATCCTCATACTTAAAGATGAAATCTCTCTGACGGTCTTGAGCACTCTTGAACATGTTCTCATTATAATCAATGAAGGATGAGCTCTGGTCAAAGTTCTCATCATTATGCTTAATATTTATAGGTACAGAAACGAATTCACTTTTATGAATATCACTAAAGAAATTTGGAGTTATTTCTGTTGAGTCTTCTTCTTGATCATTTGAGATCTCAGGAATCTAGAAGATCAAAGGGACTCTTACATCCATTATATCGTTATGTAATTTATTTATAGATTTTCTTTTGTTCTATATTACGAATTAAACCTAACATGTAAATCAGAAAATTTAAGATTGTAACCATGATGGATTCTCTAGAAACTGCAACGGAATGATAGTGATGATTTAAAGTATCTGAGATGCTTTCTGCATAGATAGCAACCTCCTGAATTTATACTTACTTGGTTTCTCTATTTTAATGTATTCATCACTGTTATTGACCTTAATAGAACCTTTATTTATAAAAACACTGGGCTGTCTTCAGAATAACAGGCGGTAAGTTGTTCTTGACAAAAGGCTTAGGCTTTTTATTAAAGTAATCAGGAGATTTATTCCCACTTTTACGCTTAGAGATCTTCCATCCACTGGAGTTAAGTTCTGCAAGGTTTTTATTACCCAGGGATTCAAACTCGTCCTGGCTGTTAGGTGATTTCCTTAGACCTGATTTCCAATTGAGCTTTAAATCACTCCTTCATCTACTTTGGAATGACTCTTGATCTTGCATTGAGGGATGAGCAGTTATGAGAAACGGGTTATGTCCTTTCTTAACTTTCTTTTTATGATCATTAACAGTCATTTTCTGGTTGCTGGAATAATCACTATAATTCGAGTGCATATTGTTCTTGCTTGAAAATTTTTGCTTCAGCTTGTTCCCAACTCCATTTTTATTTATAGAAATGATTTAGAGTAGAGTACATCCTTCCTACTTTCTTCTTTCACTCTTTGGTTTTGCTTTTAAGAGGCATCACTACATCATTGTTCTCAGGGTTAATTTTGATACTAGAATTTGTCCTCCGGACCTCTCCATTAATATATCCAAACTGAGAGTTGTTGGTTGGGGAGAGGCGTGAATTGCTCATAACCATATCCGCCTCAACAGATTGATTGAGATAATTATACCCGTTTCTATTAACAAGTGGCTGATTGATATTAATAATATTTCTTTGTAAGCTCCTATTTCCATTAGTGCCATTGCCTTTTGACTTCATATAAGTATAACTTTGCCTACTCATCCTATAAACTCAAAGTTATTTCTAGCGTTAAAATTATATGATATTTCAAAACTTCGAGTTATTTATTCCCAAGAATTTTATTGCATGCTAAAACTTGTTTATTCAAATGTTAAATGTTTAAGTAACAGTAATCTTGAGCCTCTATAAAATAGCCAGTGCATTATGTTGACCTCACAGATGAAACCTCTCTATGGGGATGTCTCTAGAAGTTTAGGACATACCTATAATTTCTTGTTTGCTTTATCTAAATTATATAATTCAATTGAAAATTATTGCATGGGGTTTTGGGGTTTTGGGGTTTTGGGGTTTTGGGGTTTTGGGG